ACTTCTGAGCCCGTCTCTCGTAGATCGTATATCTATCCCATAAGTACAGATTGCCTAGTATAATCTAACAAACATCCAATAGAACTACGTCGCATGTGACCTTGTCAATATACGACTCATGGAGCGCAAATCTTACAGTGCATTGATCAACTACACTTAGCTTTTCCTCCTTCTGAATCCACCCCAATGGATAGGGCTTCGGATGCTTGACCGTCTTCAGACCTAGCTTCTGCACCAATGCCTCGGATATCAAATTCTTCTCGCTGCCCGAATCAACAATGGCATCAACCAAACTAGTCTTCACTTGCAACTTAAGAACAAAGAGCTGCTCTCTCGGGTCGTCGTCCTCTTTCGTGGCCTGCTTTCCCGTCATAAGATTGAGACTTCTATTGGGCTCTGTCATCCCCGGGACTTCCTTCGGACCTTGAGCTATCATGTATGTCTTTTTCTCCTCCTTCCTCTTCAACCCTCTTGGTTTCAGATGAGGATACTTCTCCCAGCACCGATCAGCTTCGTGCCCTGTCTTCTCGTAGTGACTACAAATCAGTCATGCTTTCCCTGGATCACCCTTTTTCTTCTCCTCCTTAGATTGAGAACCACTAGACTCGCCTCCCGTCTGTTTGGAGTCTCCCTTAGCCTCGTTGCCCTTCTTTTGCTTACCCTCGAGGGCAATAGCCTTCACGTTCGCCTCTGCAATTGATTCCACCGTGAATAGCCTCATCTCCTTCCGGATGTGATCGCTCAATCCCGCTATATACTTCATAAACACGGAATATTCCTCTGTCGTAATGTTGAGGACCATCGCCTGCTGCTGGAACTCCATAGTGTATTCTTGAACGGTTTGATTGACCCTTTGGCACAAGCCGTACCACTTGTACCAACGTTCTTCAAGGAATCCCACCGGGTAGAACTGCTTCCTAAGTAGCTCCTTGAACTTGTTCCACGACACCGCCTTCTTCTCCTGCTTGTAGTAGGATTTCCACCACGTCAACGCGTGCCCTGAAAGCTTCAAAGTTGCGAACACAATCTTCTCTTTCGACGAATAGCCATAAAGAGTAAAATACGTCTCCATCCGTTCGATCCAGTCATCAAGCCTCTCGACGTCAACACTCCCATCATAAACAGGAATCTCCACCTTAAAGTCAATCTTCAGGTTTTGATAAGAATTCTTACCACCTTGATGCAATACAGTCTTAATGGTCTCCTCCTCCTCGTCGGAATCTGAATCTACCCTTTCCACATCGGACTCAATAATTTTCTTCGAAGAAGATTCACCTTGTTTGCCACCTCCATGGATAAGACTGACGAGTTGTGTGAGAGTCGAACCTATCGTCTCGATCTGCTTCTCCAATGCATCAATCCTCGTTGAATTGTCTCCTTCAGCCATCTTCTTCTTCCTTAAAACTCGGACTCCTTCTAATGAAATAAGGATCTCGCCAAGCTCCTTGTATTGGGATCGAGTAAGGACCATACACAGGATGCCCCTTCACCGGATCTGATTCTCTGATACCAACTTGATACGAGTTGCCGTGCGAGCACCCTTTGGTCGCGGAATTACCAAAAAGGTGGGTTGAGAAGAGGACAACCAAAACACAAGAACAATTCAGTTTGGCGAAGGAAAATACCTTCTCTAGATTATGAAGAACAAAAGATTACAATCTCTCTCTCACAATCTCACTCTAGAATTAAAGAACAAGCTCTCCAAATCTCAATCTAGAATCTAATCTCTCTTGATTAAACTCTCTGATCTCCAAGATCCTTAGAAACCCTAAAACAATCCCTTATATAGGTGTACAAACGTGGATGGCAGTTTGGTAAATAACCAGACCCAAAACCAACAGGAATTCGTGTGAACAGAATCCCAAACGAACCAGGAAACCCTCGATGAGTCGACTCATGACTGTGATGAGTCGACTCGACAGAAACTGGACAAATCTTAACAACCAGCGATGAGTCGACTCATGACAGTCATGAGTCGACTCAACCTGATGAGTCAACTCATGACTGTAATGAGTCGACTCACAGGCTGAAAACTGGGTACTTCGATTCTTCTGTTCGTCGTCTCGTTCCACGCTTTCTCCTGTGTTCCCTTATACTATTTGACACCTCTATTCTCATGCTATCATGAGAATCATCTATCCTCAAGCTCCCATGAGGATCGCTAAGTTCCGAAGAGAAGATACACCCGTATCATGATGGGTCCACGGCTCGCACGCTCCAACGGGCCCAGGGCGTGACAAATGTCGGAGACATCTGATAAAATTAGAACGATATAGAGAAGATTATCATGGCCCCTGCATAAGGATGACATGCACAAATAGAGAAATGGTATCAGAGCAGTTGCCAGCCGGAAGTGTGGAGCTAAGTGCTATGCAAGGCTAAGTACTACACCGTGTGGTAGGAGCCACCTCTAGAGCCCGTAGGGGCTACCTCTAGAGTCCACATCGCCTGATAAACTAGGATGTGCTAATTGTTATGCCATGACGAGGACGTCACCTTTGTAAGGTGGGGTGAATGTGACATCCCACGTGAGTGTGCTATCAAGTAAGATGACAACAACACTTCCCACCTTACAAACTTAGTCCCACATCGGTGGGAATGAGAAAAAAATTAAGGATTTATATAGTGAAGCTAAAAGACTCAAGTGTAATATCGGCTAGTCGATTTTGGTAGTGGTTTGAGCCAAATATAGCACGTTGCACTCGGTGGGTCCCCCGGCTCGTACGCGCCAACGAGCCCGGGGTGTGACACTCATGCCCTTCTCCCCGAAATCAAATTGTTTAAAAGTTTTTCAAATTCAATTTTTATTTCGACAAAATTCTAATCTTTCAAGTTTCAAAATTTCACATTTCTCTCCTTTTTGTTATTATCAAAAACAATACATCGAATCAAATAATCTCCCATGTGAAACATATAAATAGTAAATCATCGAATAGTACTACGTAAATGTCAAAAGAGAGACTTGCAAGTTCATAAAATTTATATATAAAAAAATGAATGACAAGTTGATACCTCATGTGGAACCCATCAAGTTACTTTGTGTATGTGTAGAGAACTCATGGTACCAATATGAAGTGTATGAAAAAGTGTGACTCAAATCAACAAACAAGTATGATATTCATGTAAAGAAGTATAACATGAACAAGCTAGTGAACAATATATTCTCAACTTTTATAGAGAGACAAAAATATTAACCTATCACCAATGCCCTATAGGGCTCACAAGGAAGATTGACAGAGTTTGGCCGCGAAGTTCACCATCTCTAAGCATGTTTCGTTTAGCACATGTTGGCTATTCTTTGAGATGTACAACTAACAATAAATCCATGATTGTGGGACGTTGACCATCTTTTTCTCGAGACTCTTTTTTTGTGGACTTTATATGAGTGTGAATCTTTGATCATCTTTTAACAGTATACTCATATAATCTATTTGATATTTAAGCACAATTACATATTGGAAAATATTTTTATTCATTAGTTAGTGCATAGATTCCTACTCAGAGCATGTTTCATATAATTAAATACATGCATATGCAAATATGATTTAAAGTCAACATCTACCAAAAACACACTATAATTGATAATATGAATCTCATGCATGTGAATGTGAAGAAATATTAAGTGAAACCACAATTTGCATGGCAATCAACAAGTCATCATCAAGTATAGCATATATAGATGAGAAAACAATGGACTTGTCAAGAAAAAGCAATCTCACGTGCTATTTAGCAGTATTATGCAAAGATTCATCTCAAAAATATGTAGACACATAGAAAGCCAAAGGTTTTATAATTTTTCTTTTTAAAATTATTTTATTGTATTTTTTAAAAACCAAAAAAATGGGAGACTTTTATTTTCCTTTTCATATAAGAAAGAAAAATAAAAGAAAAGAAAAATAAAGCATTATTAATTATTAAAAAAGAAAGGGAGACATCTATTACATACAACAACTGTGGTTATAGAATATACTTTTAATTACCTCTTTGAGAAGATTTGCTGAAACAATCGTTTATGCAAGTTGTGTAGTTGCCATAAATCCTAGCTTGCATAATAAGACCCTATTCGCATGTATCAGCAACTTCCCATCCTACACCCAATCAATTTACACTTTAGTATAAATATCACGAAGATTTTAAGTGTAAATATTTGCACGTCCATTAACATTCAAATCAATTGAATCTATTTGAAATAATCAAAGTTGCATGTGTGGTTCAGAAATGAACGTACGTACATTTATCCAATTCTCTTCTAATGGATATGAGATTATCACTTAGCTCTCAAGATATAATATATTAAGGAGTAAAATTACCCATGTCACCACCTGCAAGAAGATCCCATCACCACCTACGACAAGATCTCAGGGGGGAAGCTAATCGAAAAAATTAAGTTTCTTCCTTCCATTTGCTTTCTTTTAATCGTAAGTGAAGTTGGGTGTGATGGGTGTGGTCATAGTTATATCATTTTTCATTTGGATAACCCTAACAGTGGCTCGGGCAGGACTCAGCTAGAGGGAGGCCTCTACGCTAGAATCGCTTTGTGAGAGCGGCCAAGTAGGAGTACTTGTAAATCATGAAGTAGTTTCCTAGGTGCTAGACGGTCTTGAGGTCTCGTCACCACGAGCCAAAGATCATAGAGATCGGGAGGTGACAAAGACATTGAACGCATGACGGGTCAAAGCTAAGGTGGAACGATCCTGGTCTTCGCGTAAGTGCGAGTCGGGGTCAGAACCGTTAAAGGAAAACGTTCAACACCACGTATACATGAATTTTGCATGAAGTAAAAATCATTAGAAAATTGAGCAGAAGCATGCTGGCTTTAATTAGTTATTTTACATTTCAAAATATCCCTATTACACAATTGAATTTACAGATGCCTGACTCATCCAAAACATTTCTATACCATTCAAGTTGTGAAGTATCTAAAAATCTCGAACTTCAGCCCTCTACAACGCAAAATTTCAGTCAAATCCTTCCCTTAAATACCAGTTACCAAAATCTAATTAAGGATCAACCAGCACAATCACTCTCCCTTCATTTTCACCCTTCGACTCGTCCCCATCTTCCCCACAAACTTCACCTAAACTTGTTAACTCCTCTGCACGCTTAGCCTGCAGAGCCCAGTCAGTCCTCAGCACCACAACCCCAAGCCCCAATACGCACCACAACTGCGCTGCAAGCAATCCGACCCACAACCCGACAAACCCAAACCCCATCCAGAAACCAAACCACAACGCAACGGGCAACCCCACTCCATAGAACCCGACCAAGTTTAGACGTGCACTGATCTCTGCACGTGCGCTTCCCCTCAAAACTCCACACATTACGGTCTGCGGGCAGTTCCCTAGCTCGCACAACCCCACAATTGGCAACGCTGAAGACACAAGCTCAAGAACCCCAGCATTGTCTGTAAACATCGGGCCCCACCATCTTCTTGCTGATATATTGAATGTCACGGCGAATAATCCTAGCAAGAATCCTGACAGTGTGCCCATTATTGCGGCTCTCTTTGCTTTCTCTGGCCTCCCAGCACCGAGCTCGTTGGCTACCCGAATCGACACTCCATAGCCCAGAGATGAAGGAAAAACATAGACCAATGCAGTCATTTGAATGAGAATCCCAATCGCCGATATGGTTATTTCTGGGCTTTTTAAAAGCCCACATAAAATTATCAACAGTTCGTACCACCACCATTCGAGACATATAGATATGCAACTTGGTACTGCTAGTGAGAATATGGATTCCCATTCTTTAAAGCACTCTAGAGACAGTTTAATTCGTGTTTTGCTACAAAGTCCTCTTACATAAATGTAACATACTAAGATTAGTACCAAAATGAAGTTCGTTATGACAACTGCCGCTGCAACCCCTTTGATACCGGTATTCAATACAATTACCAAGTAGTAGTTCAGCGGTATGTGGAGTAAAGATGCGATACAAGAGCATATTGCCACCGGGCGAGTGACATTTTGGCTACGTAGATAAATACGTAGAGGGTGTACAATAGATTGTGCAATCAAATCCGGGAGAGAGTAGAGAAGATATATCTTCGCTAGATTAATTATATCAATATCTTGTCCCAATTTGACCAGGATTTTATCCACATTTAGCCATAGTAAAGAGATGGGTAAGGAAGTTAAGAGAAGTATAGCGATCGTTCGATGTAGAGTTAGGCCTAAGAGGTTCCATTTGCCCGCTCCGTAGGCCTGACCACAAATTGTCTCCATGCCCATGGCCATGCCAAAGATTATGGAGTAACCGGTAATGTTGGCTACACCGGTGGAGAGAGAGCCAGCGGCGAGAGCAATGTGTCCAAGGTGACCTAAAAACACCATGGAAACAAGATTTCGTATGTAGATGAGTAGACCGGTAGCAATGGTTGGTATAGAAATTCTGGATAGCGCGAGAATCTCTCTCATAATCTGAGTAAACATATTAGAGTTTAGTATGACATACATAGTACATTTCTAAAAATTAATTTCAAACATATTAGAGTTTAGTATGACGTACATAGTAAATTTCTAAAAATTAATTTCATGGTCCTAACCTCTTGGTATAATGATGAATTCTTGTTAGGGTTCTTTCTGTAGGGGGTAAGAATTGGGGCATCGCCACCACTGTCAGTGGCATCGTGCAACAATGGAATTGTAGTCTTGTGATAAGAATCAACAGTCGACATTTAAAGAGAAGTAGAGGCTATGAAAGTGTAAGTGCGTAACATTGTTTATATAGTAGTGCAACTTTGAGAGTGAGAGTAGGCTCTAGGAGAGAGCATATAGTCTTCGGTTGTGCTGAAGTGGGCATCTCAATGCCAAGAGTCGACGGAGGACGCCATGAAACTTTAGCAGATTTCTTATTGAAATATAAGCTATAGACTATAGAACAAGTTAACTAAGAGGAGATAATAATATGCATAAAGGCCAATTGGAGCTTAGGATTGTACCAAAGCGACAACTGGGGAAAAAAATTCTATGGATTTACACGATTGCAACAATTTAGACCAATTGGCTGCCAATGATACTTCCAAAGATATGGATATTTGCGTTTTGGTAAAGACAAAATTAATTGTGATCTTTATTAGTGCCAAGTTTAAGGTTTTCTTGTACATAAGCATGCCAGCTGTTCCTTTGAGAATAATGAGAGTTTTTTTTTATTGGTTGTGTCCCTATGATGCTTGACGTAGCGGTTTACATTGAAGTAGTCGAGGACATTATTCCCGCTGACTTTGTTCTACAGTAAGAATGTCTAACCTTGAAATAAAAATTATAGTCAGCTAAGGCCACGGGGAAGTTAAATTCCATTGACATTTAGAGGTAAGAAAATACCTTCAGAATGTAATTCTTGGGTCCACGTCCAGAGAACACCATGGCATGAGGCTCGTCATTTAATGCTCAAGTTTTCTTTATCCGGTACGCATATGCATGATATCACATACCAAACATAATTTTATCACTTGATCTCTACATCAATGAAGCAGACGATTGCATATCTACATAGACCTTGTTGGATATTTGATGCAACCCTAGACCGGGGGGAAGGGGTGGTTGAGGAGAGTACACGTGTTATTGTTTTTCGCTAAAAGCGGAAAATATGCAGAGGGAAAGATAAAATAAAGCAATCAAGATTAATCAACCACAAATAACAATTAACCATGAACACACAAGATTTTATAGTGGTTCGTATAACAATTTTACATTCACTCTTCATTTTCTTAAAGGGGCTTCCTCACTATGAAAAGAATTCTCCTAAATCACAAACCCGATCCATACAAGATCACACCATGAAATCTACCGAAACCAGATATCTAGCCTAATTCTCTACAATGAGTAACTCTTAGTGTAAAATCCCATATATTTTGTTAGAAGTATATGTGAATTATTAGTGATAAATAATTCTATTGTAGTAAATAACTTGAGGTCATGGATATACTTGATAACAAGTTATTAGAGAAGTATGAGTGTAATTATAGAGTTTTGTGCATTGGTTTTGACAGATTAGCAAAACATGCACGGATCTGGGGAATGTCTGCTCAGTCGACTTATGAGTCGACTGATGAGTCGACCTATGAGTCGACTGACGGGCTGATTTCTAGTTTTTCTTTTCTTTTTCGAGTTTGGTTTGGTTTGGTTTCGGGTTTAACCGCTTACATAAAATCTCTCTTACCCGAAACCAACCCCAAAACTCATCAGATCCCAGAGAAAAACCCTAGCCCCTCTCTCCCCTCAAACTCTAGTTTGTTTTTGGCGATTTTGGGGGATTTTCGGAGGATTTCAGCGGGTTTTGGCGAGGTGCAGCGAAGGGAATCATCCTCTCTCAGATCCAGGAGTTGTTCTAGCATATCAGAGGCGAGTAACATCTCGCCCAGCCCTCACCCACTGTTTGTATAGTTTCTTTGAGTTTTTATTTCGGATTTTTGAGCCTAAAACGTATTTTTGTGCATAAAAATAGATGCTTTACATTATAAGCTGTAAGATCTATACTTTTCAGTTAGTAAAAAGCTCACCAAAGTTTTTGTAATGTAGATCCAGATCTGGAATTAGTTTTCAACGTGGGTTTTATGTGATTTAATGTTTTCAATACGTTTTTAAACATGTATAAATATGTTTAGGGTTTTAACGTAAGATATTACATGCAAATCTCTCGTTTCTATAGATACATATGTGTTAGAATCAGAAATATGTTGCTTGATATGACAAAAAGAACTTTAGTTTATCAATTTTGCATATAACCATCGTAAGCAGAAAACTAGGGATTTTCTGCTTAGTCGACCAATGAGTCGACTTATGAGTCGATTGATGAGTCGACCAATGAGTCGACTGATGGGAGAATTTTAGTTTTGTGTTTTGTCTGGTCGACCAATGAGTCGACCAATCCTAGTCGACTCATGAGTCGACTGATGAGGAATTTTTTAGTTTTCCTCAGTTTTGATCTGTTTGGGTTGTTTCAGTTTAACTGAAACTGTTTATGCTTATGTATTGATGTTGCATGCTTTAATATAAATGAGGAGTCACCTCGAATAATGGGTATTAGAAATTATTGTTTAACTTGAATCTTTACATGTGATATGACATGCGGACAAGAGTTTAAGTTTACACACCGAGGCACGTGTGAAATTCGTATAGGTATATCTTTCCACCTATCTCATCGATATTTGCACAGTTTGTTCAGTCCTCGTGTTGGATTATAATCCATTGAAGTCCTCATGTTGGACATTCATCTATTTGTCCATGTGTTGGACATCAGTTTAGACCTTGAGTTGACACTTACATTTGTATAGACTGGACATGACACTTATATGAGTTGTGACATGACACCGTAATTAAATTCTGAGATGAGTTTGCCTTCTTTTATTATTGTTCTTGTATTAGATTTTGGGTTTGGTATTTAGGTAAATTCTGAGATGAGTTTGCCTTCTTTTATTATTGTTCTTGTATTAGATTTTGGGTTTGGTATTTAGGGATTTACAATTTGAGATACTAGGTATATACATGAGGGTTTCCTTATTTGGATTATTTCGCTCGACGTACCTATGCTCGTGTTGTAATTTCCTATATATATTAACTGTATTATCTATATATAACGAGCCCTTTTCCTTGGGGTTGGTTGTGATGTTGCTCGCTAGAGCTTTGACGCTCATTGTTCCTCCCCCTTTCAGGTAACGAGCCCGGAGCCCGGAGAGTCGTAGGTTGATGGCGATGCATTTTAGCTCCAGCTATCTATTTAGTTATATTTTTTTAGCTCCACTGTAGACTTTTGTTTAGACATTTGAGAATTTTATTCTAGAAGTTGTAAAGGCTGTGTGCCTTATTTCCTCTTGTCAGATATTTTGTATTTAAGACTTATTGAGTACTTCAGTTTATTTATTTCAGACATTGACTTGTACTTCAGTATGCTAGATGATGGAATATTAATTTGATCTCTATTATTTCATCTGTTGATTTCGGTATTAACTTTTACTTGCTTTTGTACCTACACTTTTTATTGACTATATTAGAGAGATAGTAATTGTGATGGTGAAACATGTTATTGCACGGTGTGGTGCATTGCACGTTTGACATTCTTGGTTTTACCTTGGACTGCAGTATTGTGTGAACCCAGGGGCGTCATAGTTGGTATCAGAGATCTAGTTCCAGTATCCTTAGGATCATCCTGTGTCGAGTTGTGGAGATAGGATAGAGTTTCTTAGGATTCATGTATAGAGTCCGTAAGGATTCCCTAGTATGAGTGAGGACGATATATGCGTATATCTCAAAATTTGAGAATTTTTTTTATGACAACTATTTTTGTGTAAATTTAAAGTATTTGTGTGAATACTAAATTGTTGTGAAAATCATATTGTGATATGTTATGTATGTGTATATGTCTATTTTGACTCATAAACTCTTGTTTTCTTATGATCAGAGAGATGGCAGGACGTGGTAGACCTCGTACTCGGAGAGCTAGACAGGCAGAGTCGCAGCAGGCTCTACCTGAGCCACAACAAGCCCACCCGGAGCCACAACAGGCACCACCTGAGCCGCAGTTGGCTCCCCAGTATCTTATTGATCTTATTGCTCCCATCGTAGCTAGGATGGCAGCAATTGAGGAGCTTTTGGTGAGTCATATCACACAACCATCACCACCACCAGTAGATCAGCCGCAGGGGATACCAGCATTTCCTATATGTGAGAGACCCCCAGAGGCCGTACCTACAGCTATTCCACCAACAGTCCTAGATAGAGCCACAGAGCAGGAGGCTTGGCTCCGTATGGTTGAGAGGTACCAGAAGATGAGAGCACCAGAGTTCTAGGGGTGAGTAGATCCTCTTGCAGCCTATAAGTGGAAGGAGGATGTTAGTACCATCCTCGATATACTTAATGTTGATTCGGTCCAGAAGTAGAGATTGGCGTCCTACAGCCCAAGGGAGATGCCGGGAGATGGTATAGACTCCAGTTCACTCCAGAGCACCGGATGACCCTCGCATGGGAGGACTTTGTTTATTTCTTCGATGGACAGTATATTTCTTCTGCAGCACGGACGGGGAAAGAGATTGAGCTGTCCCGGTTGACTCAGGGGGATATATCAGTGGAAGATTTTGAGAGCAGATTTATGAAGTTGCTGCACTTCACGGGCATGTGTCAGACAGGAGAGCGCCAGGCTCAGATGTTCTTAGTAGGGCTCCACCCTAATCTTCGTCGATACCTCGTCTCGAGGAAGTTCTATTCAGTTCGAGAAGTAGCAAATGCCACCACCTCACAGGAGATTGAGACTGCCATGTTTCAGAAGGATAAGGAAGGGAAGAACAAGGTAGGGCAGACAGGGGATAAGGGCAAGAACAAGAGGCCTTTTTCTGGATCCCAGCAGCAGTAGTAAGGCCCTCATAAAAAGGGACCCCAGCAGGATTAGAGAGCGCATCAGTAGTGCAAGTTCCGGGGAGTGTGTTTTAAATGTCGCAAGGTCGGACATAAGGCATCGGAGT